AATGAAGGGAAACAATCTCGGCTTTTTAATTTTATTCAGTATTATGGACAACACTATCCCGCCAAAGAGTCAAATTAATACCGATTGTTCAGCAGTAGGGGATATCAGTATTGTTTTCGAAAGGATCCAGACTTCCGACAACCATAAACGAAGTCACAGATACTACTAGTCTATTGCACAGGGTTTGTTATAAAAAATATTTCATATAGCAGTAATAGAGAGTTTGTAGTTGTTACGTAGTGCGTTAAAGCAAGCTTAACATTGAAGAGCCGGAAATCTGCTATCAGTGTGGAGTGTATGTTTGCTGTTTTGGCCATAAAGGAATCCGAAGTGTCATGATCAGGGAGTAAAAAGGTAATTAACTGTTATTAAGCTCGCTTTTTTATATATCATATCGCGTCCTCTCAAGGTCATAGTTTACAGCAAGCGCTCTACGATTTCACTTTAAAACAACTATAAACTTAATAAGTTGGGAAACATTCTGTGAACCAACAAATGTTGTAATTTATAGATCATGCCTGTAAAAACGGTGTGTACCTGCACATGCAGAAATATATATTATTATCACTCACAACTTTGTGTTTTTTGCGGTATGATGTCAACCGGTACCTAATATATTCACCCTTACGGTGAAAAGTACCTGCAAATTTTCACCTTCATATTCGAATTATTTTTGGACAACTGTATTTTGGTTTAAGTGCTTCGTACGCCCTGGTTGACTAGATCCCTACATTATTCGTAATTCCAGTATAACTTTCTCACGCAGTAAGTTAAAAGTAGACAATAGTCTTTCTAAATAAGCCTGTTAAGCTAATATCCGTATTCTCTATTTCAGTTGATCGATGAAGATATGTACCACGTGCATCTGCTGTATACTGCCACTTTACTCTAATTCTAACTTATATCTTACTTCAGAAAAATAAAATTGCTATATTCGGCAAATACGGACTTATTTGTTTTGATGAAGATAGGGGGTTCATGGGATTTTTAGCAGGACTGCAGTAATATTCTCACTAAAGAGCTAAGTGAGTGCGTAGACCAATGTAAGGTACCATACAGGGTGCCTTTGAGTTACTCGTGTTCCATTAGTGTTGTTGGAGGCATTACTTGCTTATCATATGACATTTGAACAAGAAGCTATGAGATTAGACGCAAGGACGGTTAGGGTGTGTGACGCGTGTCAATCCATCAGCTGCCGTGGCAGCTCATGGTGACTAGAATAAGTTGTGAAAGGACTCGAGTCTGTAGATTTCCCAAGAAAATGACGAAGATATGCACCAAATCACCTTATGAAGAGCGCCTCCAATCATTTAACCTCTACCCATTAGAGTATAGGCGTCTTAGAGGTGATTTATTAATAGCTTATAGTATTCTTAACACTTCTGGACATCCTCTTAAACACCTACTTAAGCTTAGTTCGAATAATAACCTAAGGGGTAACACCCAGAAACTGGAAACTCAACATAGCAAGACAAGATATAGACACAACTCCTACTCCATAGTTGTTAAATACTGGGATTCGCTGCCCACCGGACTAGTAAAAGCGACTTCTCAGGAGTCCTTCAAGAGGCAACTTGACCTATTCTTATGGACCAAGGACAGTATCACACTATGATTTATCAATTTCTTTTCCTCTTTTATTGTTAACATACCTAGGTTCCTGCCTGGAGGTTTTGGTGATCCCCTTCTACTAGACACGGAAGCCTGTTAAGCGAAAGCTTCTATTCAGTCCACAACCATTTGAACACCTGAACTAGATGCTGAGTGGCTCGCTTATCACAAGTTTCTTGCAACGATTAAGTAGATAAAATAAAGTAGCATTAGATCCAAAAATTTATTCAAGAAATTTCATTACGAATCGAATATCAAACAAAGGTTTAAACCAAGTTCCCGTTTAAAAGTTGTATTGGTAATGTTGAGTCGCAGTTTTTGTTTTTTTTCCAGACGAAAGATTAAAAGAAGTCAAAAAATACTGGAAGTGGTTGTGAGACTAAAATGGACATCCGGCATCTTTTTTATAATCTGCTGTTAGTTGGGTCTCCCGTAAAGTTTCATAGGGCCATAGTTCTGAGGGCGAAACAGTTCTTAGGATCTGTGAAGGCTCAGTCATGTTGCATTCTAAATGAGAAAACAGTAATGAATTTAGTCAGAAATGTGGAGTAGATAAATAACCAAATTACATTTTTTTAGCAAAGAATTTATGCAGTTGTGATTTACCTTTAGTTCATGAATATTAGATCAGGTCAGCCATTACTTGTGCAAAGCATAACATGGACTTAGTACCGTATCTCAATGCTTTGATTATTTTGCTCCCATTTAAGTATTCCCATGCATCTGAATCTAGTTTAACATCAAGACATACAAGCAGAGTGAGTGTCTGATAAACTAAAAGTCCCAGTTGTCAAAAAGATTCTTAACATTTATCCACAGCCAGCTACATTTAATTGAGACACAGAACACTCATCTTCTAAGACTGTATACTGCTGTTTTGCAGGCAACTAAAACCTCAGACGCTTAGGTATCCTGCTACTGATGTTATTGCTGGAGAAATTGCTTAATGATAGTGATCTTGAAATAAGGTCAGTGATAGATGTACATTCTAGAAATAACCAACAAACATACTTATCGCTATCTTATAATGTATGGCAGCAACAGCATCAAAGGCACGTTTTTTACTATTTTTAATCAGAATGATCTGAATCAGCATACTCCTTAGAAACAGACAAGTCTACTTACTAAACTGAACAGGCTTCAAGCACTATACTTAAGTTTATCATAATTCTTTCAACTAAACTGAATTATATGACAACCAAGAATACTAAACTAAGCAAGTATCATAGTTATTGTTTCATTTGTACAGACATGTTGCTCAAAGTAGTTAAATCGATATAATTAAGCCGATAAAACCAAAACACGAAATACAGGCCAGTTGAACTTACCTAACAGAAGACAAAGGATATATATATATATATATATATATATATATATATATATATATATATATATATATATATATATTGCTTTCCGACTGAAGACAACAGGCAGTTGTTCATAGAAACATAGTTTACAGTACAACAAACCTTTCTTCAGTAACATTATGCACTGACTGTCTATCTGGAAACAACCAACTATGTGACTTGAGATATCATCCCAGCGTGCAATGAACGCACAGTGTAACGCAGTCGGACGTGGCGAATAAAAATTACAACCAGAGGAAAATTAACATCATAATCTAGTTACTTGATTAAAAATACATTATGAAATGAAAAAATCTGTGGTTGCTTGAACGCACAGATGAACCTGTGCGATACATTAAGTTTACACGGTTGCGTTGAGGATAAATTCAACCGGTATTTACTAGCAGTATTCATACATGAACATTGGATGATTTTTTAGGTGAAGTAAATAACACTTTCCATTGTGTTCCCAAATCGGCTGAAAAGCAAACTAGAATGTAAATAAACGATTTTACGAACATTTGATGTTAACAACATTGGGAATCATATTCACTGGGACATACACCAGTCTAGTAGTGAAGTATAACATGTTGAACCTTATGTTATTCCCTCATCCGTCCCAATAAACATTGGCTTCTAGCGGTTTGTATATTGAAACAAACAAAATCTGAAAGTATCGTATCACTGGTGACGAAAGAGCATTTGGTAAGAATCAACATAAGCTTATCGAAACCCCACGAACATTAACCCACTTTGCACTAATACTTATTTGTGAAGCATTCTGAAAAGTAATCGGTGAGTTGAATATCAGTATACCATACAAAAATGCAATACATCACTTTGATTAGGATATATATGAAGTGGCACTAGGCACTATCCACACAACCCTGGAGATGAAACAGTACATTTATTATGAATAAAAATGATAAGACAACGGATGAGAATGGTCACGCCTGTAAGGCTGAGCCATGTCATTCGATCGAATTCAATTAATCCTTTTCACCTTCTTCATTGTTAAGTTTTTACTCGCGTAAAATGTTGAATATCTATTTTCTCAGCTTTCTCGTGTTCAATTTTGTATATTGTATGGTTAGCGCTGAATAAACTTACAGGACAACTTTTATTATACATCAACCGGAGTTTACTGACCATTTACACTCTCTTTGTCTGCACTACAAGAACACGTTTAGAGGAATTTATTGTCAATATTGTTTAGTCCTGTATTGGGTTATAATATTGATATTCTTTGTCCTGCTAAAACTTAGAGGTGCTCCGTCACTCACTTAGCTCTCTATCGGCTTGACGTTTCCCGCTCCTCTAACCTTTACATAGATATCGCTCTCCTGAAACAAGTTTTTGGAATAAAAACAAATATGATAATTTGGGTGAGAAAAAACCATACTAAACCATACTAGAGTTGATATATTCGCAGCTTTATCATTACAGAACGATGTGAGTTTATGCAATAAACTATTATATTTCAAATTCTCTTTCTGGTGATTTCTTCTTTTCCGTATCACACCAAAACCTGAAGTATAAACATGAGAACTCATATTAGTTTCTTTGATTAGAATAGGACAGTCAGTGTTGAATGCCTTTTGCAATTATGATGGCACCCAATTCTGATTACTCTTAAGGTAGTTGAAGATTTGTTCAGGCCTAGTGGTTCTTAAGATGATTCCTCGAATACTACCCCTCGACCACTGCCTCTATCTAAACGTCTATCCTCAAAGCCTTTTCAACCTTACGATAAAGCTCTCCTAGTTAAACAGAAAAAGAAGTCACATTTTCTGCCCTACTTAAATAAAAAATCGAGGTAAGTCAGTCAGTTAAACATAAAACTACACACATGTACATAGGTTCTAGTCGTCGCACCCAATTAGTACAGCGTGATGAAACCATGGACCAAATCCTGGAGCAGCAAAAGTAGTGACATTGTAAGTGTGTGGCGAATTTCGATTTAAGACTCTCTTTACGGACAAATTGTGTGTGACACCCGTCGGATTTTGTTTTAGCGAATCATTATTATATACTCTATATAACCAGGGTTAGAAGACTGTCAAGGCCGTTCCGGTCGGTTTTTATTTATATTGTCCTATTGACCGGACAGATTACCTTATAACTATCCGATCTGGTTACATATTACCAACCATAGGTATGATATTTTTTGCTTGCATTTACTTGCATTCATATGAAGTGTATTCGTGAGGTCTCTAAACTGATGTCGAGAATATACTATTTGTAGATATATATTCACTGGGAGTAAAGTGTATGGACTAATTTGAAGCCCTTTCTTCGTCAACGAACTTGCGGTGCTTGGATATGAGATTAATTCTGAATAGAGGTCAACATACGTATGGTTGATAAACTTCAGTAATAAGGATAGGTCTATCGACCTATAATAATCCTTGCAGTTTGTAACACTGTTGAGGTCCAATTTCGTTTTGGATATATCAACAGAATGTGCTGATATTACGTGTTCCAGCAGAGAATTCCAGTAATTCACTACTCGGTGCAAGGAACAAACTCCAGACGTAAACAGTTTGATCTCGGTTTTTGAACTTTCTTTGAATGTCCTCTCAAACGATCAGTCCTTGATGAAAGTAAGAGATAAACAGTGAACCCTTGTGTATGAATCATCAGGGTATTCATCACACCAACCACAAGGCGAACACGAATTTCACCCTGTTAATAAATTGGTTCGTCCATGTAATATACTCCCGTCTGTTCCATGCAAGCATATCAGTGTTAAAGCCAGTATTTTCAAGTAGTTATCCTAACATCGAATTGATTAGTGTCTTTAAAGAAAGTCATCAAACTGACTATTCACACTAAGTTTCTCAGTAACTACTGAAAAAGTTGGCTTGAAATCAACGATCCACAAATGTCTATCGATATTGACTCTTAATCTTTGATTTAGTTAGGGGTTTAGACCACGTATTAGTTTTCTCCGTATTGGATGTTCTGTGTCCGTTTTGTCAGGCTTATGTGGACTGTATTTCACGATTACTTTTAAGTTAGAATGACACTCATACAAATGATACATGGATAGTTCGTGAGATATCGAGACTATATATTCAAATCGCCCAGTTTCGATTCAGGAAACGACCTTTTAACACTGCAAAACTGACTGGCTCAAATAGACTCGAAGTTGTGCATCCGTTTTGTATTAAGGGTTTGGATTTCAAATCTCTGCCGATTTGTTAGTTCTTAATAAGGACCACTTAACATTTGTTATCACATCCTATGGTTCTCCCTAAAACATACCAAAGTCTTCGCCATGAAATATAATTATATTAACCTATTTTTTTATTGATAATGTCCTTAGTGTTCGTTTGCCTGTTTAAGTTTTGTCCTATCTGTACCACCAAGTACGAATACGGAGGTTATCCCAAGTCGTATAAAACAAACGACCGGTCAGTCCCTGTTAAGTTCCATACTATGTATTTACTCAGCTACTTATGACGATAGTATAATTGCGGATTTCTTATTTGTTATTAGACATTCCTTCGTAACCTATGTAGCCCGTCCCACAACCATGGAGCTAAGTTATTATCATACTAACATAACGCGGGGAAATTATCAAGTTATATACAAAAGGGATCTAGATAACAGGAGCATCTATAGTAGTAAACCAGTGAACACAGAGAGTTTAGTTCAAAGGTAAATTTTGGAATTGAATAAAAGCATATAAGTCGAAATTATAGTAATGTCAGCGATTATGGAAAACAACATAATCAGAATGGTTCAGTAAGAACCACTAAAATTGAGGAATAGTAAGGATAAAATAATACTAGAACTCGAGGTTCAGGGAAGGAGAATATGTAGAAATACCTGTTTTACTCTGACTTATTCTGTGATATCTCTTCAGGTTTCCAAGTGTTTACTATTGTACGTTGATTACCATGCGGGTTCCAACTAGGACGTCTGGATTTACCTACATGGTTCAGAGAAACAGTCTGTGATTTCACGATTCAACTAAACTCTCTAGTTTAATGGTTTTCGGCAGTGTTTGTGCATGTGTAACATACATCCCGGATTTTTTAATAACATCCTACTGGTTTTGTCACACTTCATATTTTTTCTTGGGAAGTAGGTTGCCAATCGTGGAGATGATTTGTGTCAGTGGTCGTGTTTAGTACTGAGAGTTTAGACACCATTTTGTCTTCATACATCACATGATTTTTGTACCTGAACTTTCTTCCATGTATTTTTAATCTCACTTTGAACAGTTGATCGTGTAATTGAACATCGCTTTTCGGAGTGGGAGACATAAAACAAGTGTTTCTGTTTTACGTGAGACACCTCTGTGATGCATTTGTCGATACTTTTTTACAACCTGTGATAATGTACTGACATAACTTATTAATCAATACAATACTGATTTTCGTTAATACTTTCTGCTTGTTGGTTTCAGTCCATTGAATTCAGGCCTGCTGCTGTCCTCGTATAATTTACAGGAAACCACTGGCATCAGCTGTTCCTGGGATGCTGGAAAATAATGCAGCTAGTAATGTCGAAACTTGTGAGGGAGAGTGTCAATTTCCTGGAGATTTAAAACAACATAGAATTCCCAAAACCACATTGTCTCTAGACATTGCTGATCGTTCATTATATTGTGGTATATACAAATGGCGTCCTCCGTTTTTGCGTAGTTCTGGAAACTTAATAGCTTTCCTTGCTGCTGCTTGCTTTATATCTTGCCTACAGTCTTCTTTTTCTGGTTACACAAGCTCTCAAGTGACAACTTTAGAAAAACGGTTTGCGATAGGCAGCAGTGTTATAGGAGTAATCAATTCTTGTTTTGAAGTTGGCTATATTTTTTCTGTTATATATGTCAGTTACGTTGGAAGTCATGGTCGAGTACCTGTGTGGATATCAATTGGCCTTTTTATAATGTCCGCTGGATCATTTTTGTGGTCTCTGCCTCACTTCGTTTTCTTTGATAGTAGTAGAACAAGTTCTGTTTCCTTAAATGAACAACTTTGTGTTTTATCCAAGAATACAAGTACCTGCGCTGAAGGATGTGATGACAAGTCGTTAATTGGCTGTTCAGAATCTTCTACCATTGGTTATGCCTTTCTTCCCGTTTTTATTCTTGCCCAGCTGTTGATTGGTGCTGGTTCGAGTCCAATTTTGACATTAACCCCCCCTTTCATCGATGATCATGTACCTTCTTCCAAAGCGCCCCCAATGATAGGTAATTTTGTATCCATTTATTTTACTGATTAGTCATGTTTTATCATTGTTTTGATCGGAATACGGTTAATCTGTCATTTAAGTGTTGTGGAATAGTCAAAAATAGTCACAATTTTGCTCATATTCATTACCATTATCTGTAAACCAATATTTGATGTAGTTGTGAGAATGTATTAGAATATATTAAATTGAATTAAGAAATATAGTAGGGCTGTGAATGCTAAAAGTTGCTTAACCTAGTCATACCGGAGTTCAGTATACACATAATATCGTCTGAAGTTTTTCATCCTTCTAAAATGTCGGAATTCCTATTCTAAATATGATGAAGATTGATCAGCTCCAGTTTTATGAGCAATCATAGTATGTAGTTCAAGTTCACTAAAAACATCGTATGAAGTAGTTGTTATTATTACTTTTATTTTCTCCATTTTACCTCCAAATAAAATTGCACAGAAATATGGTAAATGGATAACATCATATAATTAAGCTTAACTAGTGCGTAAATTAAGTATGTCCTTTTATCACCACCATTTAGTATACCATATTAGATAAATATAGTGTTAAGCGAGAAATGACAATTAGGTTGTTGATGTCATTGTTAATCTTTTTCTTCTGCGCTACATGTCATAAGTCATCGATTAGTATCATTGTATTAAAAGATTCAGAAACGATTGAAAGGCCCTCTAATACTTTCACGTTACCCTCATATTCTAGCCATATTATTGTTTCATACCTTTGTCCCTTGTTCGCTTTCTAATAGATCTTATTATTACGTTTCTTTATGTGTTGATATGAGGTGTTAAGATGATAACTATTCTTAGTTAGAATTGTAAGTGTCCTTGCAGTTTAGGTGATAGTGTAAACATGTTCTTTATGGCTATTGTACGTACGTACCAAGTTCTACGTTGTTACTGACTGACTGACTGACTGACTGATGGCTATTGTACCACTGAGTTATGAAAATGAGATACAATGTCACAACAAAATGTTTAATCTTGATCCAGGGAATGGTACTTTTTTACATATCCAGCTTCGATGGCTCGTACTTTCAGATTGTTTCTATTAGCCGTCTTCTTAAACAAAAAAAAGCGTACCAGATGATCCCATTTTCTGTAGATCAGTTAATTTCTAAATCTATTTGACACTACAAAGATCAATGATATCACTTCACATCTGTTGTTAACTCACTAATACCTTCATTATTCTCCAGGTTTACTTGGTGTAAGTATTAAGTGTCGTATTCAAAAACCTCATATTTTCAAATATCTATATGGCTTTTGATTTTGATCACTGAATTGTATTGAAAAGTAACACTAGGTAACCCCTCTTTTACTTCTTGTTTTGTGTATATCCACTTTTATTACCTAAGTTTTTCTACAGATTACATTTTTTGCTTGATTTCATATTACATTTTAATCACGAATAGTTCCTCTTCTTTACTTTTAACGCGAAATATTATAGCTTCGCTATATGCAGCTTCAGCAATGGGTCCTGTTATAGGATTTGCCTTGGGAGCGTTTTTGCTGCAGTACCCAGCTGATGTCTTAACTATGTATAGACCTTTCAAAATAGGTCCTGATGATCCTGAATGGATTGGTGCCTGGTGGGCCGGATTCATTTTATTAGGTTAGTAATAATTTACGTAGTAATAATCTCATCCCAGGCAATTTTTTCTTGAAGTACTTTGATGTACTATTGTTAAGTTCTTTTGGTTTAAATAATAAACATGTTAATAGTGTTCTTGTTTTTTTTCTAACCATAATTATTAAATTCTTTTTGTAGGGTGAGAGAAACGACGACATATTTGCTTGAAGAACATTTAGGTCCTATAGTTTCAAAACGTAATTGATTATTTTGTTAAAATCGCTGATTTTGCACTACTGTGAAAATTAAATTAGAAAACAGTTGTGCTTTAATAGTAAGGGGATGTACCAAAATACTGAAATGGGCTGGTTTAATGTACTGATTCCATTGATATTTAAAGTAGCAATCTTCTCTATAGAGCGTCATTTAAGCGTACATGTAATTTTCAGACCACAGTCATCCGGTGTTTGGGTAGTTGGTCACTGAACAGTAACTGATTTCTCTTTTAGTTCTTAGTACTGGCTAAATTCTATCGATCCGGTTTACAATACAGTCACTTGTTTAAACGACTTGACATTGGTTAATGATGTATTAGCCTAATAACTCATATCCTTTCTTATTTAACTTCAAATAACTATGACAGAAGCTTATGTAGGTAAATTCAACAGCGAAATCTCAATCGTCTAGGTTATTCGAATCGTGTTGGCTAATGTGTTATCTGTACCAGATTCTAAGTTGTTTATATCTATCATTTTGTTTTTAATTTCTTTAAAAGTGTAGTTGGTCTTCACTTAGTTCGGTTCTTCCCTTCGAACTTGTTTGAATAATCTAATGTCTCTAATGATCGTCGTTCATATGATCTTCTAGCTGACTAAAGAGGTTGAATAATTTAATTAGTCTATCCATTATTTACCTATAATGTTAACATTGATTCATTGGTTTCTCAAAAATAATATCCTATCTATGTCATAGTTTGACTGATAAGCAAAATACATATCTGTATATGAACTGAAAATGGCATGTACATTTTGAAAAGTTAAGAATTTTTATATGGTAATTTATCAGATTATCTATTTTTTATATCGAAATAAAACTTGTTATTCATACTTTTCTAGGAGGTCTTGTTTTCGTTGGGGCCATTATACTCTTGATGTTTCCGAGAAAATTACAGGAATTCTCTTGTTGTGATTCTTTGAAATCGAAGAAATTGTCCATTAAGAGTGTACCAATGAATAATGGTTGTGTATTAAGTGAATCAAGTAAATTGATCAGTATATTCTACTTATTATGTTAATTAATTCTACTTTTTTAAATTAATTTTTTTTCCATTTAAACGTGATCACAATTACAATTTAATAATTATATTATTTAGTCGAATTCATTTGATGGCTAACTTTTTGATTTTTCTTGGAGATATACAATTTGCACTTAATAGTATAGGGTTGTGCAAATTATTAGGTTTAGATTGATATCATGAATGGATCAATGTTAGACCATGAGTGAAAACCTGGAAGTACTGGACGGCCATTTCGTTCTAGTATGGGACTCCTCAGCGGTGCGCATTATAACTTATTCAAAAAAAAACAAATCAGTATTGGTTCAATTAAAATTCTGTAACTGTAGGTTATTCAGTGTTATGGATGCGGAGGAATATACCAATACTTATCGTGTTAAGTCTGATGGTGTCCTTGGACGTTAAATGAACATTCCCTATTGGTCGATATTTGCTCACTTGTTAAATATTGTACAAAATGTTGTTTTCTATTTTATGATACGATGTGGTTTGTTTGTTTGGTATATAAACAGAGTATGTCTGAAATACAGTGATTCATAACTCAGAGGCTAAGACTTGTGTTCTGGACTCAACTGGCTGGGTTAGCCAGGGAAGCGGGACCAATCGAGACACTAGGCCGTTTGTACGTGTTTTCTGTGTCACTGAATCAATCGATAAAACGCTTCACTCTAATCTGCAGTCTCACTTCACAACATTCAGTGTGAACACTGTCCAGGGAATTCCAGTACATTTTTACGTAGATTTGTGTTAATGCGACAAGTATTCAGTTTAAATATACTTTGTTTAATTTTGTACTGGGTTAACATCGAAAAGCTAGTAGTAGTTTCTTTAGTATTAAAGTTGGTGTAGTGAATTATTAGCTCAGCTCACCAATATATCAGTTTTTATATCCAGTCATTTAACACTGATTAGTAGTAGTAGTAGTGAGGGCTTGAAATATAAAATCGTCTTTATATGTACTTCTTGCTCTTCAATGAAATTGTGTTTTATAACGGAATTGAATAAAAGTCGTCCTTTTAAAATGTAAACGTTTGTGTTGTTTTTCTCTAGCATTACGGTTTTAATCATTTAGGGATTGAAGCATCTGTACCAACAATTTATGTGGTACCAACAGTTATGCCAAAGTATCACGTAAATGAATAAACAGACAAACTATGTGAAATTTAGCACAATGGGAAAACAGTAGTAAGGAACCAAGGTGAACAGTTACAATCGGAAGATTGCAGCATTAATAAATGATTGTGAAAAGAAGATTGTAGTTGACTTTTTGTGACCCTGGTAGCAATAAATGATTCAAGATAATCCCATTAATCATGCATAGGCCCAATAATTATAAGCACACCGAATTTCATTCACTGAACTGATTTCATTCTGATTTTTGCTCTTAATTGCCCCCATATGCCCTGGTACGGCCGAGATTAAGGAGAGTCATCTCTCCCACTCAAAATGCTCTCACATGGCCACGCGTACACAGCAACTGCTGGGGGGGTTCCTATTCACTGACTTCTCGTAGCGAGTGTTGTTTACGAAATTGAGAGGACGAAAAGCGAATATCCGGTGTTTTTAACGAGGTTGGTGGACATGAAGGGTCCACCTAGGGGAGTTGGAAAACCCTGATTCCAAACCAATGGAGTACATGGGCTCCAGGATTCTGAAGGAACAAATGGAGTATGAACCAATCGTTGGTCACCGACTACCATGGGACTGCATCTCCTTAAGTTGCTCCACTTCCTTGTGGATCAGACCTTTAGGTCGAAGGAGCCGGGTGTGGTCTCCCAAGAAAGCCACCTGCTTTGGTCTGGGCACCCGGGCAGTATCACAGCCCATACACAAATCAAGTGACTTGTGTGGTGCATATGTATTCAGTGCCCCTTTGTACCAATATTTAGGTGTTTAAGTAAATAAAGAAAAAAATAAATTTTCTCTTAATTATTCAGTTACGTTTATTATCGTTAATATGATTGGTGGCTCATAGGTTTTCGCTTTACTTTATAAGGCTAAATTTCCCATATACAAGTTCTTCAATCGCGGTATTTCATTTATAATATTGACTGAGTGATTGATTCAAGTGTAAGATTAGTTAGAATCAGAGTCTTCTTCATCTCTGAAATTTGTGGTAAAAAGTAATCTTATTGTCAAATTACTAAATGATTCTCAACTAATAACTATGTACTAAATAGTTCTTTAAACTTGGTCGGTGTGTGCCAGTTTACGTTAGTAAATAATCAGTACACAAATCGAGTGGTTAAAAAATTGTAGTTAACTTTAAATTTTGCTTAAATTTTAAGCAGTTAAATTTCGAGGTACCATTATAAATAGAGGAATAACGGTTATGCTATGTCTATCTAATCGACTTTTTAAGCTCTTAGATAATGATCAGTTGAGTTTGTACTGTCGAAAATGTTTCAGATTATATTACTACGAATATGATTATCAAACTGAAATTATGAGTTACAGTTTTCTAATTATTTCTCGTGATTTCTGTACATTAGAAACTTACAACTCTTAGTTTGCACAGTGGATTTGTGCTGTTCAGCTTTCAATAGTTGTACATACAACAGACAGCAAGAAAAGTGCATTAGCTAAGAATTTCGTAGGAACAATGAAATGGACTAATTTCGAATACTTTGTTCTTTTGATGGGGAAAATTAACAAAAACGATTATAAGTAAGCAGATGATAAGTGATTAAAAGAAAATAATCAGTCAAGTCGAATAGACTTGTGTAACTATTTTTCTTGGACTAGTGGTTGATAAGGATAATTATTGGAATGTGGGTGATAACTTTATCACTAAAAAGTATTGACTGGAGTCATAATTTTATCATTATGAGGTTACTTTCACATTCGTTATTTAAAAGGGTTTGGTAGTAAGAATAAAAATGCTATTTGTTATTGTTATTCCTGATATCTTTTCTCATAGGTAACGCAAAGAATTTTAATGTAGTTGGTAAGTAGTTAATAATTCAGTAATCTTCGTATACAACCTAGACAACAGTTTCTAAGTGTAGCTGTTTTCTTATTTTATTTATTGTTTAGCTCCAATGAGGCCACATGATAAACATACAAATTCTACGTTAGAAACTGAAATAAATCCTGATAATGACTCTGAATATCAAGTAAGTTTTTTTGAATTGACTATAGTTATGATTGAGTAGATAGGGTTAGCAACAACAGGATTACATATTTTATAATTTTACGAGTTCCATCCAGAACTGTTGAATAAAGTAACAAATTTCCTCCGAAAATCATGTTATTTCAAGAAAGACTAGAGTATTACTCACTTTACCATACTAATGATTCTGTTAAATTTCTTGATAATTATAATTGAATTGCAGCTAATCATATCAATCGATTAATTAATTATTAGTTAGAATGATCATTATTAAAATCCATAGTTCTGTTGATAACCTATCGGACAATAAACCAAGTAGCCTCTAGTTATTTACCAGATATACCTACATCATTCCCGCATAATAACATAACTGTTTATTCCATCGGTGCTTATTTGTAATACTATTTTTTGTCATTGTTCATTACACAACAAAAATCTAGTGAATATTTTCATTTCAGTGACACGACGATAAATTGATCGTGAAAAATATTAGAAAATGGCATTGTGACTACAGCCTTCAAAATGTTCATCTAGAGTATGATAAAATTTAATCCGATTCATTTTGTTAAATTTTATAGCCTATCCGTTATACAAGTTCTTTAATGCCCAGTATGTGACTCTAATTCGGATGAACATGCGAATATGCTATGAGCATAGATCTCTCATTTAAGTCTGTATATTACCTAGGCTAACACCGTTTATGTGACAGCGGTAATACGAAGCCAAATACTGGTTGTGTTGGATGAATTTATTTCAATCACTCGTTTATCCAGATAGACATTCAGAGAAACGAAGTGCAGAAAGAGCGAACGAAGTGGAGTAAAGAAGGCAAGAGAGCCAACTCAATTTAATCAAATGTGACTCAATACTTATAGTCAGACAAAAATAAGCTGCGGGCATCTGATAAATAGGATGGGCAATGGACCCATAAAAACTGTCAGGGTCAATAAGTGGATAATTAAGAAGGTCAAAATGTGACTTGGAAACAATGAATAAACCGGTTTGTCCAGAAGTTAGAATAACCCATGTGAGCTTGACATAGTGTTAGTAATATCATTAATTCAGAGTTATTTTCTTTGCATGAAATTATGAGGGAAATTTACAGCTTAAGCGTTTGTTTTTGATAATGTTACATTGTGTAAGCTGAATAATCTTAATTACAAATGTGTTTTCTTCGTAACGTTCTCGAGCTGACACATTGTTGTATAAAATTATACACTGCTTCATTTAACCATTGACTGTTTGTCTTAATGTAAAAGTTGTAAAAAATAGTACATCTGCAAGTAACATTTTAAAAGAAGCGGTATAAGAAATGTACAAATAGTATTCTGTTAATAACCTTATTAAGATTCTGGAATTTATGCATCTATGATAATCTTACTTTAGATCGTTGTTTACACATTCTGAGGGTAAAAATATGTAATATTTTAATTATAATGATTTACTAACATGCAATAAGTGGTTTATTTGAGGTGATGTTCACTTGTTGTATAGCGGATAACAGGTTCTATAAAAAACCATTTGATTGATTCTGCTTTGAGCTTTTCATCCAGTATTGATATTCAGTTTTCATTTGCGTACAAAATACAACTATGCAGCTTTCTATAACTACATTAGTATTTTTAAAAAGTAGCTTCCTATTTCAGCGAAAGCACTTGAGATTCTACCCACTTGTTCAGGTGGTCTGCAATATCTTTCCCTCTTTACAGCTGTGAATAACAAGCTTATTATACATAAATAAATTTAGTACTGTTTATATCTCAACAGTTTATTGTTCACGCAATTGCATTAATAATGAATAGAATATATATTCCCTACATTTTCTAATTTATTTCCAATCATGTAAGTGTTTACATCCAAAGCTGTTTTCTGCATATTCCCTCCCCGGAAATAATGAATGATTTACTTACTCATAATGAGCTTGTTAGTAATTAAAACAAACATGAAATCATTTCATTCTGATTTATGAGAGGATAATTAATTCACTAGGTCATTTATTGCTTCACGCTTATAGATAACGTCGTATTTCTGATTTCTTGTGTGTATAGGGTCCTAGGGAAAATATATAAATAAATCAATTCATAGGTTATTTTGAAGTTTAGTCAAATTTGAGGTATTAGTTGGTGTATAATATATATGTGAAAAGTAATGGAATTATATTAATTTTCTGAAAGGATTATCTTTCATGGTATTTTGTGAATGTTCAATAGATTGTACCAAAATTATTGACTATCTTCTAAAGACATATGTGTTTGATGCTAATTTTTGTAATTAATTAACTAGTATTTTAGTACTAGTCTTTTAATATGACGGGGATATTTAAACGATTAAAATTCACTAACTGTTTTGAAGAAAAAATCGTTTACACTCGGCTTTAAGTCAGAGTTTTTGTACAGGGGCTAGCGATGTGTATTATCTGTTTACTTAAATGAAAATAAAGTTGTTGTCTGATGGTTATAAGTTTAGGGCTCTTATAAGTAAAACAACAACACTTCAAGCTATAAGTAATTTCTAAATTAGTAACCAGTTATTAATAAAAAGAATATATATGTAATATCCCAGTGAGTAGGGAAATTAAGTTTGTAAATTTCCTGACGTTTCGTGACTCAGTGTAAGCCACTTCTCTGAAGAAATGGTTTATTAGAGGTGGGATATTACAAATATATTATTTTAATAACAATCTGCTCATTTATTTATTTAAACCTAAATATTGGTACAAAGGGGCACTGAATACATATGCACCACACAAGTCACTTGATTTGTGTATGGGCTGTGATACTGCCCGGGTGCCCAGACCAAAGCAGGTGGCTTTCTTGGGAGACCACACCCGGCTCCTTCGACCTAAAGGTCTGATCCACAAGGAAGTGGAGCAACTTAAGGAGATGCAGTCCCATGGTAGTCGGTGACCAACGATTGGTTCATACTCCATTTGTTCCTTCAGAATCCTGGAGCCCATGTACTCCATTGGTTTGGAATCAGGGTTTTCCAACTCCCCTAGGTGGACCCTTCATGTCCACCAACCTCGTTAAAAACACCGGATATTCGCTTTTCGTCCTCTCAATTTCGTAAACAACACTCGCTACGAGAAGTCAGTGAATAGGAACCCCCCAGCAGTTGCTGTGTACGCGTGGCCATGTGAGAGCATTTTGAGTGGGAGAGATGACTCTCCTTAATCTCGACCGTACCAGGGCATATGGGTGCACAATGTACTCAACGCCTAATTAGTTTGAAATTATCAAGCCAAACTTTGATAATGACATCTAAAAACTCATTAGTAACCAGTTAGTTAAAAACGGTAAAAATCAGAGTTATGAGAGACATTCCTTTAGATACTATTTTGTTCATTAGATATACAAGATAGATCGCATCAGTTAGTTCATAAGCAAAGAATGATAAATTAATGTCTAAGACAGTCAAACATATTTTACTGGTTATGTAGTTGCTCTACAAACTTAATAATAAACGTCCCTTTGTCTCGTGAAATCTATTATGAGACAAGAGACTACTGTAATATTGGTAGTTGCTAACTGTTTCAGTCTAGAAAATAACAAAGTGATTTACGATAAAAATACTGAATCGTACAACTAGTTATGAAGTAGTACATATTGGTGGTCAAATTTTTCATGACAGTTCGGAATTATAGTATGTTGTTATGATCTTGTCATGTCTATGGTTTGATATCCTCATTTAGATCTCTTTTACAAAATTCTTCCATATTTAATTCATAACATTTTTTCCTTCTTGATAGTATAACTACACTGCTAACAATTTAATAGAAAATAAATTAGTTAATACATGATATTCAGAAGTCTATATCCGACTAAAGTGTTTATAATTGTTTTAAAATTCATTTTGTATTGTTTGTTTGTATCTTAGGACTGAAATTGACCAGTCTCTTATTGGTCTACGCACATTCTGTGCGGATTGCTTTGATGTTGCCTTCAGTCGCAAGCATTATAAGCAAAGATGGATGGTGGCTAGATATATTCAATGAATGACTGTTGTATTTCTGTTTCTCATGTTGATTGAACATACCAGTAGAGTTTTGTTTTGAACTCTTCTGGTGAAACATTATATTAGCAGTTAAAAGATGTCTAGTCAATACTATGTAATACAAATAGAAGCAATGGTAATAGTAGCCTGATACTTTTCTAATAGGCTCTTGAAAATAGCTTGTTTTCAATTATTTCCAATTACTGATTATATTCAACAAATAAAGGTCATATTTGTGTTGAAACACACACACACACACACTCTTCATCTTTTTAGTCTGGCTATGTTTTTTTCTCTCAAAATAATTTTATTTGTTTAGATAATTAATGGAGAGATTTTTCCACTCGCTGTTTACATACCTATTTCAATGTCTTTGCCTGCAATCAGTTTTGTATTATTTTTTTTTCGCTTCTGTCTAAAATAATTTATGAATTTTGGCACAGCCGGCAACGGTAATAAAAAAGATGATAATAGCTTACAGTAAAAATAAAACAAACTGTTGCAATGAGACTTAGAGGATAAAAATTAAGAAATTTAAGAATTTCGGCAAATACACAATACTGCTAATAATAATGGTAAATTATAATCCTTATTGTGTCTTCAATTTACACATCTCTACCGCTTTGAATGTTTAAAAAAAACAATTTCTAACTCTATCTTGTGACTCGGTACTTGCAGAAATTACTGTCCTCCTAACTTATACCAATATTTGATCTGAAAAAATGTGGTTCTCAATCATCAGTTAAGATACACTCGGACGGTTTTCAAACATCGCAATTGATTGATCGTTTAGGAAACGTCCTCTTTCATAACTCATATAAATAAATTCTTCAGAGAAATTACCAACAAAGATATAACTGATCATGTTAATGAGAAATTGACAAAAATCTTGAAAAAGATGAACGATGAATCAGTTGTCAGTAGTTATATATTTGAACACTTAAGATTGAGGAGCTCTACTATTCCACGAGCGTCAAGACGTCTGAAAGATGCTCCCCTTTAGTACATAATGAATATGAATTACTCACTATTCCGACTTGGTTGGTGGGAATTCTCCAGCCAATAAAAAATACGGTCAGTAAACAATAAATCCTCGACTCATTTGCTAGATGTATGTACTTTCTGTCTTGCTTTAAACTATGAGATTAAAATTACTTTATATTTTTCTTTCTACCAACTAATTATTTCTTTCTGTACTATATCTTTATATGCAATCTTTCTTTTATATAGTGCCACAAATTAACTACTATGAATTCGGTGTTCATCTTGTGCTAATGGGGTATGGCAACTTGGACCAATGCATATATGTGCCTGGTCCTACCTTGTAGCTGACTGACTGACATTTGCTTTTATTGATCCAGTCATCGGCATCAAGGTTTCTGGGGAAAGAGTGGATTTTCGGATGTTTCGTCCGTCTTCACAAATATCCCTTTTATAGAGAGAATCTGTTTCGTTCATGATTATATAGAAGATAACGACACTAATATTGGTTTTTCAAAATACTGTCTAAAATAATTGACTTAAATTCTCTACGTTAAACGTGATCTTGAACCTCACTAATTCTGACTCTATATGATCTAAAACCACGTCTGAGTAGGTTTGGAAAATTTCTTCCAATACCTATTATCTTATATAGCTTATTATATACAGTTTTGTTTCTGTGGTGTATCTGCTCCTTCCTTATTTGTTGAGCGGGTGCTTCATCTTAATACTGTCCATTACGTCCTTTGTCAGATATTGAACAAATCTATATGTGGTTGTAATTTATTCGTGCACAGTAAGCTATTATGATTCTGACTACTTCAAAATAAATCTAGTGAACTTCTCTCTTAGATTCTCCTTTCACAATCATATATGAAGCATGAACATAAGAAAGTCATGTAACATTCCAAGATTTCTTTTTTAATTTGCGTAAATCGTAATGGCTTGGTAAAATGAAAAATATGTTGTTTATTGAAATTAGGCATCAACCAAAATGAAATACTGCATTCGACGACATAAAATTATGTATATACTTAGGTTTTTATCAATATTAGTCAATTTCACTCCATTCGTTTTACGGATTTTTCTTAGAGTCCTTGGTCAGATTTTTCTTCTTCACGGCGAAGTCAACGAAAAAGTCGAAGCTCAAATTCTCATTTTCAAAGTCAACCGCTTGATTCAAAGAATACATGGAGTGGTAAGACTATAATCTTGTGTTTACTATTTCTCAGTAATCAATTCCATTTTTTAATTGTTTAGTATTTGGAAAACATTGTAGGTTTATAATTTTAACTCCACAGGGTTAATATATTTGAAGATATTTACCTCATTTATTAGTTTTTAAGATATGTAGATTTGCTGAAATCATCCATCCGTTTCTGCTTAAAATTGCGTGAACGTATATTAAAGCGTTAGACTGACTTGAAAACCCACAACTTATGACCTAAATTAGTGACTTTAAGTTGTTTTCTTCATCTATGATGAGTTAGACGACCGGGTTGTATCACTAGGCCTTACACAATAAAGTTATACTCAAAACCAAGTACTCATACTTATTACACAGGTTATTATTATTTCTCAGTAAAATACATTGACTATGCACTTCATTATTCTAACTTTATTCAAGTTTAAAGTATTTTGTACTTATTATGGAATCAGTGATTACCCAAACAATGTACCTTAATGTGTGTAGTTTCGATAAATGAGTAAATAATTGATCCAACAAATGTGAGTTTTATTCATTATACGTATATTTATCAGGGCTATTTTCATATGAGTATTACGTTTAAGTTATTGAATCATTAGTTTATTAAATATTCTCGCCTCAGTTGATGCTTATTTAAATGGAAAACTTTACAGGAAAAACTTTTATAGTGAAATATTAACAGATATATCTGTTAACCTTCTTAACAGACAAAAAATTGACCGATATTTGAAGTTCGAATATTATTTACTCTTTCAATGATCTTCAAATCATCATTGCATTCCGTTAAACTTTACTGTATGAAATTTTCATTCACATTTCTTCTATTCTACACTTCGGTAATATTAATAGAAAAGAAAGAAAATACAACTGTGATTGTGCACTCAATTATTGGGTCCCTTTATTAGTTATTCGGTTGCCGGTTATTGGCATATAATGCTGAAGGGTTCCATGCAAAGATGAAACCTTTATTCAGTAATCCATAGTCTTATTAGTTATCTAATTTATGTAATATCATGGTATAAACTGTCTACATATTGCTTTCTAAAAAAATTGTTTCCTCTTTGTTTTTCTTTACAATTTCCTAGATTTTAGTACCGTCGTGTGTTCACTTATTCGAAATAAAATTTACATTATGGCTTGTTTTTGTATATGTTCAGAAATGTTTATTGTTGTTGGATTTGCATCATTTTTACCAAAATATTTAGAAATGGGATTTCGAATTAATAAATCGTCAAGCAGCTTAATAGCTGGTAAGTAGCAAATAATTAATTTATTTCCATTATACATATATATATAAACAGAGGGAAAACAAAGTCATAAATAGACTGAATATATGAATGATGTAAATGATAATGGATAATAATAGCCTACATAATTAGATTTATTGTATTATTGGTTAGTAATGGGCATAATACTAAACTCTTACTATATATGTAACTTTTTCTTGTAATTATATACATCAGTTATTGAAATTAGTATTTTGCAGTTTGTTCAGATAATGTTGCTCAGGGGTTTTTTAATTGAAGATAAAGTACAACCAACTGACTGAATATTAATACATCAGGTTAGGAGTAAAGCAAACTATGTAAAGTTTCAAAAACAAGTAAGGTTGTAGGTTTCGGTGTACTTACAAATTTGAGATATGAACTACATCAGTCAGCCATTTTAAGTCATGTTGGGAAATGACACGAATTTTTTGTATCGCCACAACTAACCTCGTTCATACAGCGTTAGAAGAAATCAGAGAGAAGAAAATGAATATGGTGAAATAATTATTGTCATCAGGTCGTTACCTATTTTTCCGAGTTGTCATAAAGATGAATAACCTGTGTCGATAGTCGTGTAGTTTAACTTGGGGGAACCCTTTAGATAATGTCTTACATCCAGTTCTGTGGTCCTCGAATAAATGAATATTTTACTATTCCGAACTTATGTTACATTTATCCACCTCTTTGTATTTTTTCGTATCTTCTCTATCTATGCTGTTATAAGTCCTCTCTGCTTTACGGCAATCAATCATAATTTTATAAAAAAAAATCATTCTATCACTAATCATCTACTCCTAAGGTCTGTTTGTTGTCATATGAATGATAGACAGATAATATTAGTTTGAAATCGCACTAAAGTTCATCTGAAAGAGATGAATAAAAACGAACACTAAAATGAAACAAACAGGTAAAGAGGTGTTTATACGTATTTATTTTTCTATAGTGTAGAGATAATTCGTGGTTGTAGTTACATGTTATTCTTGAACGTAATTAATTATTAAAAACATCGATTTCCAGTCCCACCGGCTGAGACACCTTTGATTATCACACTGAAATTTTTATTCAGAAATGATAGTTGAAGTTACAATAAAATTCTTTCGGAGCACAATCCGAACTTCATGTCCTTTACGATCTTCCAAATAAGCCTTGATATGCAGTTTCTAATCAGGTGTATTGATATCATTTCAATTAGCGGGGTTTTTACTCATGATTACATAAGCAAGTAATTACGCAACTAACCACACTAGTCACTCAATTATCACTTTCCTTAATCAGAATCGATCTGAAACAAATAGGATAATCGATTACCAAATAGTTAATTACACTTGTTAATAAAGCCTTCGTATTCAAACTAAGTTGTATACAGAGGTAATAACCGAGGTGATTTTCTTGCCTAACGTTTACAGACAAGTACACATGTGTTGTGTAGGTTATCAATCTGGTCGTCATACATAGTCTAATGGGTTTTTAGTTGAATTCTTGACTCATTGATCTGTGACTGATTTTGATTTTCTAACTTTTATTATATGATCATGTTAAAACTGATAATGATTCTTTATTATTGGGATTATAATGGACCAATAGTTCACTGTTTTAAGGGATTCAGTTTTTATTCATCTAATCTCACGGGTTTAAGTTCATTTATTTTAAAAAGGTTCGTTCAACGTACTATATTTAACGATTGGATCATAATTGTATCTCAACAACTACTGAATTTATTAGTCCATATTATTTTCACTTCAACTATAGGTTTTACCTACCGAAATTGAATCGTTTTCTAGATATTGATTAGTGTACTTGGTTTCGATCCATGCTTAAGTTGTAATAGGTACTAATACTAACTGACTACTCGAACCGTAGTATGTGGGGTGGGGCTTGAACCTCATGACCTAATGAGTAAAAGTTGAACGTCTTAACCACTGCTCAGCTACCATTCCTTTTATTTAAATTATGCAAAAGTTCTATTGATCTAACGTATCGGTTACAGTACTACCAACTATTTTGAAGGTAGTTTCACATTTCCTGTTAGTTAGATGTAGATGTATGTTATTAGAAATTAAATTTCTTTGTCTGATAGTCAATCATCATTACTGTTAAAATCTGGTACACAAATATGTACCTGATAGTGTCTGAAGCCACTGATTTGTACTATCTCTGGAACCCTAGCCACGTAATTGCGATGGACAGAAAAATGACAGTTTTATACAGCCTTCTTTCGTACCACAGTGCCAGGTCATAGGCTGACAACTTCTCCGCTTTTTCACTTCGTCCCAGCATCACCAAAATATACACTATGTGGAAGCCGCTGGGATGACATTCGTAACACATATCATTGTCGTTGATGCCAATGTTCTAAGATAGAGCCAGTAATCAATTTATTGCCACTGTGCCCTAATATCCCCAGACCTCAACACAGTTAACATGGTGTTGTCATTGAATGTCAACGATACTTCGCAGACAGGACAGATATTTGCCGAGCTTCCTCGACTCAGAGACTCCATGTTTGCAAGGGCAAACCAGGACCACTCTTCATTGGTGCATTGTAAACGCAAGACTTTGCAGCCAGACCAACATCAAGATGGTGTCAGAGATGACCTAAGATGGGATAAGCTGCTCTGATTTCCACTGCACAGATTGTTCTCATCACTCACGCAACTATCCATTTAAACGAACTTCCCGACTGCTTCAAACAGCTCACCATAAAGAGTGCAGGCGTAAACTTTATTTCAAAATGTTAAGAAGTTTTCTATTTTTAAAACTTATCCAAAAGTTTTGATCAGTCTTCAGTCCAGAATTTCGCCACCATATTTACAAAGAGCCGGAGATACGGTGTCTGGGCCTGGTGATTTATGGCCCCACAGAAGTTGGAGATTCACACGGACCTCCGATTTTTTAGGTGGATCAGTTGACATATGCTAGGGATACCAAGACAGTCTCATAAATGTCCCTGGAACATCAGGCTAAGTAAACGTTTCCTCGAAAAACTGCTTATCGTTCCAGATACCTTTAGATATTACTGACTGATGTTCCATCAACCTCAGAAGTTATCTCATATACACCAAGCTTCTCGATGGCGGCGGCCGGAATAATTTGGAATAGCCTGCTCCAGTTTCCAGATGGAGCAGCTGTTTTAAACTCAATGGCGCGCTGACCACCAGATTTCTTCATCCTTACGCAGACTTTGTACCATTTCCTTATGTAGGTATCTATGTTTATTACTAAACTTATGATTCGCCGGAGTAAATCGACATGCTTCCAAGAGGACCCTTCAAAAACCCAATGCTTTAGGCTGGATGTTCCACGAATCCCTAAGAGACGTGAAACACCGTTTTCATGGCGTCAGAAAAATACATTCCATTATTGTCTACACTTTATGGCTGACTTACTACAAGCTTGAAACATAATTCGGTTGGATGTTTGATTCGGTCAGAAGCTTCAATCAATTTGCTTATATCAATCCCCCTTAAAACGAGACGTTTGTTATTCACTGAAATACAAGATAAGCTTGGCACTAAACTAACCTTAATCGCAGTTCAGATAATTTCTCCAAAGAGATTGACGGTATTGTATAAAGTTACTCCATCTGTAGCTAATCACTATGTGATAAATGTGATTCCAGGGTTAAATTGATGAGGTGCAACTCCGAGTAGCATTTCGGGATGATTGTCCTGGAAGGTGGTGCTGATTAGAAACAAGTTGTTGTCTACACAAGGCTACAGGAAACGGTCACCACTATCTCCCCTGAGATAATCCCCATTGTTGCGTGAATTGAGAAATAAAATGATATACAAAACAGAATTAAAAAGGAATAGGAAGATATGAAAACATAAAATAAATTTGTATGTAGTCAAATACCGTTTATGCTGATAATGAGGGTAAGAAAAGTCATTTTCATTAGTATTCATCTTTGTATTTGTGTTTGGGCTAGGACACTGCCCGGATATTCATACCGAAGTAAGTGTTTTTCATTGGGACCTTCGACATACAAGCTTAATCCACAAGGCAGCAGAGCATGGTTAGGAGAAGCGCCCCCATGGTAAACGGTGACTAAAGACGTGCTTATACATCGACAAATCCCTCAAAATTCTGGAGATCATGTGTACCATTGATTCAAAATCAGGGTTTTATTACTTTCAGGTGAATCTTCCATGTTCACCGCCTCGATCTTAAGGACTGGATTTTTGCTTTACTAAACAACGCTCCGTCTTCAAGAAAACAGTGGGCAGGACTTCCACGACTTTGACAATAAATGGTGACCACTTGATGGTATTTCGTTAGACCGAATGTACTCTACACTGTCGGCCGTACCAGAGCATTCGGGGGCTAGAAGAAGATAATACGACTGATGTATTATGACAGATTTAACATAATTTTACACAATGTCTCCAACTAGCGGTTACGATTATTGCTCGGTGTCAACCCGTAAGTTTGCATCTATGCGCATAACACATACCAACAGTCACTCGTTTGTTAGTGCGCCCTCTTTAAAATACTAATTCGTCCTGATATTGTTTGGAGGAAATGTCACTGGCTGGATATCATATATACTTTCGTCAACCAATGATTACTTGTTGTAGGGTAATTATGTCAGTTATTCAGTTATCTTTCTTCCCAATTCTTGGTCAGTTTATTTTTTAATGCTTGTTTTGTGGTTGTTTTTTTTTTAATATTTTCACTTTCTAGTTCATTGTTCTCTTCGTTATTTCAACGTGCTTTTGCGTGTGTGTGTGACTGTTAATGTTTGTATATTTCAATCTTGAGTTTATATTGAGTCTTGTACATTGTAATATCAAACCGTATTACATTATTTTAATTAATTAGTCGAATGAGAATATTACTTATTTTTAGTTCTTTTTGGTATGCTACTAATCAGTTCTCCAATTTATTCGAAAGTATTTTTAAGAAAAACACTAATAGCATACACACAACAACAAGTAACTGTCTAATGGCGCAGTCTGACAAAAGTTTACTTTATTAAATTATTCTGCTTCACATATTGCTTTGAACTATTACCATCAAATCAAGAAATCATTATCTAACGCCAATTTCTTCTTGCCATTACCCCTCTTCATTATCGAATAATCTTCGGTTTGTTGTAGTTGAAAATGTCTACTTTTTGTTGTTTGCTCGTATTTGGACATTGTCGTCTTTCAGTTTCTGTCCGAGATGTATGCGTATTTGACTAGTTGCAATCTCTTTGCCTCTTTTTATCTCTATCTTAGGTGGTCTGATTGTACCCTGTGGTGCGTTCGGCATTTTAGTCGGTGGGATTATTCTCAATAGATTTCAATTTCGTCGTAAAGGTGAGTAAGCGGTTGATATTGACCATATCTTTAATTAGTACATATATCATCGAACTTAGACAAAGTAGATATTATATTGGTTTACGTTGATCGGAAATTTTTTTTGCATGAATTTATAATATGGTTGATTTTTCAGATTAAACAGTTCGAGTCGTATTTGAATGTCATACTGTTTCTTTAACATTATTCAATCATTCAAATTTATTCTGATTTGTAATTCTACTATTATTGAACGAATTTCTCGAACTAATATATAACTTTTAAGCATTGACTAACACGCTTCTATTTTGCAAATTCTCTACGATATTGTATTTATATCTGTTTATTGTAAATGTAAACTGATGGATATAAATTAAAATAAGGATAGTAGATATTACTATTATTATTGTGAACTACTTAATCAAATCCAAACAATAATTGAGTAGAAATTTATCAATCAAAAGGCATATTTTAATAATTTGTTTCTATATCTATTTTTTTCAATTGGGTGCTTCTGTTTATTTGTTATTGATGTTTGTGTTTGCAGCGAACATAGAATTTATTTATTCATTCTTGTTTTTTAATATTTAATCAACTTCATGGGTTACAACCAACTAACGAGAAGAGTTAGTTTATCTCGTTCTCTTAATCTGATATTATTGTGCTTTTACATCGATTATTTCAGTTGTTTAATTATTTGATTGTTTCTGTGTAAACATCATATCTGCAGAAATATTAAGTGGGCAAATGTATATGTGAATATGTATATATATAACATATCTAGTTGCTGCCTACTAGGTTGCACGATACTACATAGTTTAAGAGTTGACTAACTGTAGACAAGTGTTATATCAGTTGAAGAATCATATGTTACAACTTACTGACTGAGTTTCGAACCATTCTGACTTTAATTTAGTTTTGTGTTATGGTTGCGCTCTTTATTAGAATGGTATAGGAAGTTTCGTATGGTCGTGAATGCGCACTGCTGAATAGTCCCATACTAGGACGAAGCGATCGTCCAGTGTTTCAGGTTCTTAATAGTGGTCTAGCTTAGATTGACTTGCGAATTCAATTGTGGACATATTACCATCTTCACAAATCCCCATACTGATAATAAGTTTTCATTGAGTGATTCAATGCACAAGAATAGATCGCGGTGTATAAATCAGTTTTTTTTTCTTATACAAAGATCAGTTTCACATACTGACATAGTATTTGCATCGTTTATTTATTCATCTTGAAAGATCGTCTGTATACATATATTCTTTTAGTGTAAACAATTAGTCTGTTACACTTACTTTTAATTATATTGAAATGTTTTTATCTATTTGTTTATTTACATTTTATTTAATAGGTGCTATCCGATTTGTTCTCGTGGTTAATTTGATCATTTTAGCTTGCATGTGTTCATTTTTCCTTTTGGGCTGTAAAAATCCCTCAATTGCTGGTTTAACTGTGTCTTATCCAGAAGAGTGAGTTGTTATGTTAATTGTTTAGTTTTATAAATATTTTTTTTCTGATGATGGTGACGAATTATTATAGTCCAGGAAGGTTGTTCTACTGACATTGTGCTCTTTGACGACAATTACTCACTCCATCAGACAATCAAATGCAGTGACTAATTATACAAAGTTCTAATCAAATTCATCTCATATTGTTTGTTTGAACCTTCCCATTGATGCTCAGGACTGTAATTGATTAGTCTCTTATTGATATATGCACATCCTGTGCGGATTGCCTCGATATTGCCTTCAATCACAAGCATTATAAGCAAAGATGATGGTGGCTAGCAGTGGAGTCCAGAACGCGCGTTTCGTTCTGTTTAGGACTCGTCGGTTGGATGTACCTGTATCCCAGAGTTGATGTTCACTCTGAAACTCGGATCCAGTAACATTCGCTTCAAACGCCATCGCGTTATCCACTTAGCTAAAAAGTGAATTTAAACTTCACCCCATCGCACAACCCAGTGGCTATCAGGACTCAGTAGCTAAGCGGATAACGTGATGGCCTTTGAGGCGAGCGGTACTAGGTTCGAGACCCCGAGTGAACATCAACTCTGAGATGTATGTACATCCAATTGACGAGTCCCAAATAGGACGCAATGTGTGTTCTGGATTACACTGCTAGCCACCATGCTTATCGACTTCTGATCACTTTTGAAGCGATTCCTCGAACAATGAGAAGCGTATTACGCTCATACGATCATACGAAGCGATTCCTATATCTCACTTCTGTCTAAAGCAGTTTGTGTTAATCGTACCGTTTCTGAAGTCAACAAATAGCTTCATAATTAAACTATTCAAATAAGAGTGAAAATCTTGACAACAACTATTTTTGACTTTGTTTTTCTCTGATAAAAAACATTTAGATAATGTTTTCATTGTTTACCTAATATACGAATATGTATACTGGGTACCTCTTACGTATACCGTTTGCCATGATACTGAATGGTAGGTGTGATATCAATTAGATCAAAAGAAAGCTAAAGGTTGACAAAATAGGTTATGACTTCAGTTCATAGAATAATTGATTATTTAAATAAATCATCCTGGTGGCAAGGGTTGTATTTCAGATCGGAAATATGTTCGATAATTGTAATCTATGGTTAGAGAAATTTGATAACATGGCTCAAGATCGGTTTCCAACCCTGCGTAGCTTCACTTTTACTTCACCCTCTCTGTCTCTTGAGTTTAGCTTCATTCTATTTTTCAATCTCAGTTAACCTCTATTTAGTCACACTTCTCAGTGTGTTTTACATTTCTGTATTTTGTTTTTCATGTTGACGACAAAAGTAAACTGTATGACCGAAACAAAGTCGACTTAAGATAATGCCTTTTGAACTTTTCGCGGTAAATTCAAAAGGCAATGATGGATAGCTTGCAACTTGTTGAAAGCTATCTATCCCTGAAAGTTAATATGGGTGAGGAGGTTAGCCGTGCTTTTAAAGCATCAAACGTTTGCTCATACTCGATGATCCATAAAAAATTTCATCCTTTATGTGTCAACCGATGCAAAGGTTCTGCCAATGATGCAAAATCACGAACAAAGCGTCTGTAATAAGAATCGAGCACCAGGAAACTGCGAACGTCTTCGGGTGATTTTGGCTTTGGCCAATTAACAATGGCACATGTCTTTTCTGTATTCGTACCTACCTACCTACCTACCCCATCTGCGGTGATACCGTGTCCCAAGAAGATTAGTTCTTTCTGCTTCATTCGGTATTCGGACGGTTTTACTTCTAAGTTCTGTTGTTTAAGGCTATGAAGAACCGCTTTCTAGTTGTTCAGGTGTGCTGCCATACACAATAAAGTCATCAAGATATATCAAGCATTTGTTGGGTACTATATCTTGTAAGACTGTTTGCATCAGTCTTTGAAAGGTACCTGGAGCATTCGTTAACCCAAAAGGCATCACTTGAAATTTACACAGACCATTTGGTACTATGAATGCTGTTTTCTTCTTATCTTGAGGTCGAGCTTCCACTTGCCAATACATAGATGCTAAGTCCAAAGTCGGAAACCAACAAGCGCCTTTCATGGCGTCTAATATAGGGTCTGTCCGGGGGGGCGGAAAAGAATCACGTTTAGTTATAGCGTTAAGATGTCGGTAATCTACGCAGTCTTAGAGAGTAGTCTTTCTTTTTCACTAAAAATGGGTCATGCCCAGGGGAAAAATGAGGGGATTATAGTCTTTTTGTCTAACATATCCCTTATCATCGCATCCAGTTGCGGTCGGTAGTGTACCAGTACCCTGAAAGGTGGCTGCCGAAGGGGCATATGGTCTCCTGTGAAAATAGAGTGTTGTACTGTTGTCATCCGGTTTCCGGAGATACTCTCCTCGAACACAGAGCTTACCTGTTGAAGTACAGCAATGGTTACGCGACGGTCATTTTCGCTTATTATTTGATTGCCTTGTACCTGACGTACAACTTCTGAAATTTCCACATGAGCTACAGGTTTAGTCGGTATCCCTTGATGGTGTAGGTTCACCGTAGCCTCACCAATTTCCGCTTCTGACCTACCCATGTATATAGAAGCCTGGTGTTTCAACATGAAATCAACCATGAGTATCATGTCCCAAGTCAGTGCGGGACAAACTAAGATTTCATGTCGAAACGGATGCTTATCTGTCGTTAATTCTAACCGTCTTATAGCACGCTTTCAAAGCGTCACCACTTGCTGTGATAAGTGCAGAGGAACATTGTTTTCGCTGAGTCTTATGGTTTGGTTTTTGCAGGAACTCTTCCTTGATAAAGGATGTTGAATCTTCCGTATCTAGTTGCATGTCAATCTCAATACCTTGCTCCCATACGCTAGTCAACGACTAGACAAGAGCGAAGCAGGATATTTCACAACACGCCGAGAGATGTTAGTGTTGGTAAAACTCTTACAACACTTTCGTCATTGTCTATCGGGTTGGCCTTTTCGCGTACGCACGAACCATCTTGCACTGCAATGGCTTCGTTCGTTTCGCGAGCCAGAAGGCCAGGTAACGCGCTGGCAGGAGAGGCTGCAAGAGTTCGATTTTACGTGCAAGTAGCGACCGGTAAACCAACATACAAACAGATGATCTGACCTGCATACCTCAGCCCCCAGATACCATCAATGCTATTATTATTAGAGCCCTGGAGACCGATTGGTCTTCTCTGCAAGCAGCAGATCAGGACCTGCAGCTTATTTACCAGACAGTTACATAGAAATAATAAGCCATCCATGTCGGAGCTAAAAGATCAGTTTGTAACAACTCGTCGTGTTGGAGCAACCTAAAGGTTTATGGAGGTAACACGTTATTCCTAATTAGTGGGTCAAGAAAACCCCTGTTAAGAGTTCTGCGGGTAAATGTTCAGAGTATTGTGGGACAGGTGCATTGCGAAATCAGTCACTCAGGAGAACGAAGGACTGAATACGCAGTCCGGCAGCTGTTTTGATGGCCATCCATACATGAAGATGTGATGGAATTTTGCAAGAATTGTAACACGTGTTGCTGTATAAAATCGCCTCAGCAGACACCCCGTGCACCGTTAATCCCGATGAGGACAACGGGACCACACCAGCGAGTGATCATCGATATCATAGGGCCACTGACAACGACGAAAAAAGGAAATTGCTACATATTAGTTATGGTGGATTATTTTGCTAAATAGTGGGAAGCAATTCCCATCCCTCAGCAAGACTACTTCATGGTCGCCCGAGTTTTCATTGATCATTGGGTTTCCCGTTACAGTGCCCCATTCTCACTTCACTCCGATCAAGGTCTAGCCTTTGAAAGCCATCTCATCGCTCAAATATGCCGACTATTAAGAATAAAAAAGACACACTACTGCGTGTAGCCCAGAGGGTAACAGCTTTGTAGAAAGAACAATCAGAACTATTAAAGCCATCCTACACTCGCTCGTCAGCAGATTGTCTGATTTGTGGGATGATGTAGTACCCCAATTCCTTCTAGCTTATCGCACATCGGTACATGGGTTCGCAGGATTCTCACCTGCCATTTTACTGTTCGGGCACGAATTACGCCTACTGGTGGAGATATAAACGCTTTTGTTGCCCAGCGAAGCCCAAGAACATGTACCGTACATACGTAGTCGCCGTAACCACCTGGTAGATGCATACCGCTTGGTCAACACCAACTTGCGCAAGGCTAGTGGACACTAAAAAGACATTTACGACCGTCAGGTGAAAGGACCGGTGTATGCAGTCGGGGATCGCGTTTGGCTACACCGCCCCATGACATCGTTAGGAACTTGTAGTAAATCGCACTAACCCTGGCATTGTCCCTATGGAATCGTCCTCATCCTATCCCCCACTACGTTTGTATTACGTAATATTTAACTACTAAGATGCTTAAAATTGATAGTATTATGGGACTGACAATTAAAAACAAATTTAGGCGATGCTTAGAATAACGATTAAAAAGTGATTAGCTATTATAGAGTAAAATAAGAGAACTGTAATGAGATCGAACTTCCGTAACACTTTAGTATCATTCATAAATTTTTCAGTGTAAATTTCAAGCTTTTGTGATTTTAGTTCAGATACTACTTACTTACTTACGCCTGTTACTCCCAATGGAGCATAGGCCGCCGATCAGCATTCTCCAACCCACTCTGTCCCTGGGCCTCCTTTTCTAATTCCATCCAATTCTTGTTCATCTTCTTCATGTCTATTTCCATTTCTCGGCGTAATGTGTTCTTTGGTTTTCCTCTTTTCCTTTGGCCTTGAGGATTCCATGTAGGGGCTTGTCTTGTGACGCAGTTGGGTGCTTTCCTCAATGTGTGTCCTATCCACTTCCAGCGCTTCTTTCTGATTTCTTCCTCCGCTGGGATCTGGTTTGTTATTTCCCACAGTTGGTTGTTGCTAATAGCGTCTGGCCAACGGATCCGAAGTATTTCGCGTGGGCAGCTGTTAATAAACACCTGTATCTTCTGGATGATTGCTTTCGTAGTTCTCCAGGTTTCCGCCCCATACAGTAGAACTGTCTTGACATTTGTATTGAAAATCCTGACCTTGGTGTTGGTTGACAGTTGCTTTGAGTTCAGATACTATCTTAAACATTATTACCACAAAGCATTCTCACACTAAACTTAATTTCTAACCTTAATTCCTGACTGTAACTCCTAATGTTGATCGTAATTACATATTCAAAAGGAAAAAGTCCATTATGCATTGTAATTTTAATTATAAACCTTTGATAGATTGACCGGATAGAGTTTTTTTCTGTTTAATTACAGTTCCTAAATTTAGTTAGATTGATCTCAGTGCAATGTAATGCTTTTTTCCCGTGACTTTGATCAATGTCTATTGCTCGTTAGTTCGGTCTGACATTTCTTAAGACCAAAATTTTTTTTATTTCGATTATCTATTATTGCTACAACACATGTACCTTCGATTAAATCAAACCTGTAATGAACGACTACTTACAAATATATATCGTTATTACATCATATTTTGCATAACAGATGATAAAAAGTAGCATATCAATCGATTACTGTTCAAGCGTATACAACGAGATATTACAATTAGATAATATATTTGTATTACTTTTTGTCTGTAAGCTTGAACTAATCTAATATGTAATCGGTTTGTGTAAGTTATTTCTATATGACATTCTAAAACTTATAATAAAGTGGCTTATGCTCAAAGTTCCTATGGTATGTATGATAAACAGCTTGACTGGTAATATGTTGATTGATTCGGTAAAACAATTCATAACTGTGGTGGTAAATTATAAGTGTTAATCCAGCTGAGTAATGAAACAGTGTTGTGGCATAATTATTTCAAAAGTCGGTTCTAACTTTCCTACTTGTCATTATCCAATCCTGCTCCAATTACTTCCCGTTTGATCAATATAGTTATTACCTTTAAAAAATAAATGTACATAAAGATATTTACTGTCCATAAATAATTAACTGGCAATGTGCAATAATAGTTGAGAAATCATATATATTTAATTTAACATTTGATTTATTTAAACAGTTGTAATCCGTTTCCTGAGATTGGCTATAGCTCAAGAAGAGGATTATTGCGATGTGTTCATTTAGTTTGCATACACAGAATTCACCGGATATTTTTTTATCAACGAAATCATTTACTTATTCTGTGCATTTGTATTTCTAATTGCTTGGTGAATGTATATTTCTTTAGAAAGATAGAAAAGAATGCATCATAAAGTGTAAAAGATTTCAAATATCAGGTTTAGTTGGGTTAATAATCAAGGGGGTTAGAGAAGAATAAGTGTTTGAAACTAGTTTGCTGGTCAGAATTATGAAAGATAATTGTCCACTTGACAGTTATGATCAAAAATGGAGAACGTAAACGTCATAATAACCACTGAATAATTATCATGGAAAATTGTTAAGGGTAATAAAAACTGATTACAGTTTAAATTACGTGATCACATTAGAAACAATACAAAACCAAAACATTCTACAGAAGGGAATCAAGGCCATAGGAGGATGAGAAGTTGAACATATCGTTTTTGCACGTAGTGTTCAGGCTTAAATCGGTGTGTCGCTAACGCCTCAACAGCGCATAAGCTTCTGATTCCGCCTCTTTTCGATCCAGTCCCTTTGATTTTGTAGATTATTTTGAAGGATGACTCCTTTGAAGTTACTTATTTGAAGTTGATTAAGTGATCCTGTATTGAAGTGTTGGTTGTTTTGTATATACCTTCTAAAAGCCACACTGGGTAATGTTCTGAGGCGCATTTGTAAAGTGATCGCTTTGTATGGTCAATGAAAGCTGCTTCTGTGGTGCAGGCAAATTTATAGATGCACATCGATGTTGCTGAGTGCGGAAGTTTATTCCTTAATACATCCGTGAACGGTAGGCCGGGTTACGAAGTTAATATGAAGCTTATCTGAATAAGTTTTATTCAATTCTATTCTGTCTAGCGAACCAATATATTTCATAATTCTGACCCGCAAATTATTTTCAACCTTCTATTCTCTTTTAACCCTCCTGATTATTACGCAACCACTTTGGATATTTAAACACTCAAATCAATTTATGATGTAATCTTTATCTTTCTATAGACATACATATACACCAAACAGCTATAATTACAAATGTACAGTATAAGTAAATAATTTCGTTGATAAAAAAATTTTCGCTTTATTTTTACTCAATGACACAATAGATTATCTTAAGTTTGCATACTTTCAAATTTTGTAATTTATTTAACGTTAATTGTTATTTTCAGTTCACTTTATTCACGTAACATTTTATCAGTATGCAATGCTAATTGTTCATGTAATCAAAATGAATGGTCTCCAGTGTGTCATTTAGCTTCTGATATCACGTACATTTCACCTTGTCATGCCGGTTGTCAAGAGAGATTCCTTCTCAATAACTCAATATATGAGGTATTGTCATATTTAATTTTTTTTTATGTGTTAGAATTTTTTTTCACCAGTAAATTGATTATTAATTATTTGAAACCACATCATACATTGTAATTAATAATTCTACTATGAATAGCCATGTTTGTGGTGTTATGTAGATATGTATATTTTAAGTGTGTACCGGTTTAATTCTAATTTTTTTTATTTATTAGGGCATCGTGAGAGAACCAAAATCATCTGATTTGATAGCTATTATATTTCAAACTGTTCCGACCACATTAGTTAATGAAATCTTATAATTTTAATTAATTAATCTCCTTTTAATTTGTACTATGAAACTGATACTACAATCGATTACTTTGCTGTTTCGCTGTATCAAAATCACTACGTAAATGTATCTAAACTTATTGTCTACTGTCGAATCTCATGTTGCATAACAATATTGCAATCCATAAGTAATAACTGCTAAACATACCCACTTTTCTGATTCACAAATAAAAATCTTGTTTCTGTTACATGTAGTGTAAGTTCATGAGAATTAAACCAGTTTTCTGTAGTCAATCATAGATTTCACTAATCATCGACATATTCCTTATACCGTAACGTCTAAACTACGTGAATTGATTAATACTCAACTACCTCACTGCTCACTGTTAACCTAAAAAAATGTATATAAATAATTACAGAATACGCGCTGAAGCAAAATTTCAAATAAAAAGTGATGGACTTTGGTTAGGGCAACATTAGAAAACATAGAGTACTAGACATCAGTTGAGTACTAGTATGGGGCTCTCCAGTACTCCTCATCTATAACCATCTTCAAAAATTAAACGAATCTTCATAGACATCTCATTCAAACAGTATTTGTGTGCTCAGTATGTTTGATATGGAATCTTGAAGTTCTAATGAGAAGTTTTATTAGGGAAGATCAGTAATTTTGGGACTCAGGCTGTATCCAAGTATTTATTTGATTTACCATTCAATTAGCCATTCCAAATGGGTTTCCTGTAGATAGATCTTAGATTTTCATCTTGTTTCCTTGTCATTTCCACATCAAGAAAGTGAATTATTTGTTTGTTTTCAACTTCAAGTGTAAAATTTATTGATTGATGACAGTTATTAAATGTCTTTAGAAGATTACTCAAATCATATTGTCACAAATGATAAATATATCATCTACGTACCTTTTATACCAGTCGAAGTTTTCTATAGTCGTTTCTAAGCTAGTTGTTTTCTAGATTGGTCATGAAGCAATCTACTAGTAATGGACCAAGAGGGGAATGAATTCAAAAGTATCATGTACAGAGTGTCTACAAATGCATTTTCTTTCGGGTTCTAGGAAATCTGCCAGCCATGTTGCTATTTTGTTTTATCTTGTCAACTCAGTATTGTATTTCCATAGCCATCATTGAATGATTGTTATATAATCTTTTTATCTCTATATCATTGATCAACTCAGAAAGTAGTTAAATTACCCCATAACCATGTTGGCGAAACTACCTTGATTTCTTTCGTTAACCCGTAAGAAATCAGCAATGATAATATGAAATTGTAGTCGGATGATGTAGGTAGATGAACGGATAATTTGCTCAATTTGTGTAGCACACGCATTTCAACCGTCAATAGATTCCAGAAAAAATATAGAATCACCAATCAGTGAATTAAATATGTGATTGAAATTAAAGCTGTTATCATTTATACGTTAAATTTTCAAGCAACGGTACCAGGGTCAGTCAACGTTTTGGATAGCAAATTATTATTTTTCTTGATTTATCGTAAAAGTAAATGTTATGATTGAGTCAAAGTGTCACTAGCTATTTTTGGCAGTTGTATCAAATAACATTTTCTTAACATTATCCCTATTTATAATAATAATAATAATAATTTGTCGATCTATTTTTTACACATTTCTAGTTTCGTAAATGTGCTTGTACATTACACAGCATCAATAATAACAGTATTGTTTCGTCTAAGATTACTGATGTAACAAAACCTGGTGAATGTGATTTACACTGTCATACACTAATTCCATTTGTTGTTCTATTAACATTTTTATTATTCCTAACTGGTGTAATTCAAAATCCTTTATTAATGGTTACAATGCGATCAGTTGATCATAATCAACGTTCTTTTGCTTTGGGCCTTCAATTTACAATAGTACGATTGTTTTCTTACTTACCTTCACCAATCGTATACGGACGTGTGATTGATGGAGCGTGTCGATTTTGGCGAACAGAATGTGGTCGTGTAGGTGATTGTGCTTTTGTAGATGTTCGAGATTTAAATTTATATATAACTGGTAAGTTGTTGGGTAAATTAGAATTTTATTAACTTTTCTACTTTCACAAACTATTCTTTTTAATGTGTTTAAACATTTTCGTACATTTTACTATAATTTCAATGGACTCTGTTTGCGCTAATCTTACCGTACTTTTCAGTGGCCAACAAATTCACCGTCCTAAACAGATCGATGTCGTCGAATTGGTAGCAACTTCTGTTGCAACTAAATATCAAACCGAGATAGGTTCTAGGCTAGCAAACATTCCACCGAAAGGTATAGATGAACATTGGTTGCGATTGCACGATGCCATGAAAATGGTGAGTAAAGTCGCCTGTGGCTTGGCTAAACGTCCCGCTTATAAGCATTTGTTTTCTTTTGGCTCCTTACAAATCATTGAAGCCCATCGGTCTACTCCGGATGACCATGAGTTTGACCACAAACTAAGGATGTTACGTAATGAAATTGAACAAAGCTTGTGTGAGGACCGAGAAGCCTGGTGGTCGGAGAGTGGTAATGAGTTGGAAGCAGCAGCTGAATCTGGTAACTGCCGGAAGTTCTTTTAACTCATCCGAGCCACTGGCAACAAGAAATCTGTTGTGGGCGAAACAATTTGTGAGGATGATGGGATGCCGACCACTAACATCCATCGACGTCCTGAACGGTGGGCAGAGTTTTCGAATGGCAGTTCAACTGACCTACTGCCCCAGCAACATCGATCAGACTGTCCTGCCCTCCATGGCCTGTGACGACTGATCCACTAAATGAGGCGGAAGTTTGCAAGGAACTCCAACTCTTTAAGCGATACAAATCATCGGGTACAGATGACTTTTCTCCCCTTTGTTCAAATAAATAAATTTGGTGTAGGCGAAATTCGTCAGATTTTGTGATATATATATATATATATGTTTGGACAATCACATTAGATAGATCTATTTTATTTCATGTCCCCTAGATCGTGCTTACATGCACATTAATTTTATCAATAAAATTGTATGTAAAGCATGGACAAATGTCCAGTTACTGTTATAATGAACCTTGTTTATATAATCATATATTGTTTGACCCGATATTACTTTACCACAACGAAATACCTAATTTTTTTACACTTTTTATTTCATCGTAAAGTATTTTGTGATCAATTGTTACTGTCTCTTTTATTATTATTATTATTATCATTAATTGTTAGTTATTATGCTAATTTGACTGATTACTTGGATCGTTATTAAGTGTTATCATTGACCGGATATTACTGGATCATAATTCATGCTAGTTGCAACCATATCTAAATATGTGTTGTCTAATAAATAACTTCTTGAATCTAGATAGTTAGGGGTATTACTCACTCGATGTGTTACAATTGTTTTATTAAGTTACTCATAACTGTCAGTGGTACGAACATGTTTCATAGTTACTTGTGTTGCTTTTTCGTCGCACTAATAATTGATTATTTTATTGTCACAATTATGTATGGGGATTTGTGGAGATTGTAGTATTTTATGATTGAATTCACGAGTCAATCTAAGCTAGACCACCATTGAAAACCTGGGAACACTGGACAGTCGTTCCGTTCTAGCATGGGATTCCTCAGCAGTGCGCGTCCACTAATTTACTTGCGGAACTCGAACCCAGGACCTTACGTCTCACGCGCGAACGCCTACCCTCTAGACCATGTAGTGCTTCCAGGATTTGAATGGTGGTCTGGCTTAGATAGACTTATGAAGTCAATTGTTAAAATTAAGTTTACGTCTGTACATTTAGTGAATTTTATTGTACAGCGAAACATTCCACTTCATTCATCAGATTTCTTTAAGAGGGTTAACTGTTAGTGCTTTGTTAACTTCAAAGTCATACAATTTTACTAGTTATGACACTTTGTTATTACATTCATTTCTTCATGTATTTGACTTTAATCGATATGTCTTATATGAGAACCAAAGGTACTATTCGTGCATGAGCACACTAAAACAGGTTGAGCTGGTTTTGAACTTACAACTCAATATTTCCTAATTACAATATTGCAACCTTAAAATAAAATATATATAATGTATGTATAAATGTGTTCAATTTTGTTGAAATTATTGAGACCATAAACCGATGTAAATTAGAATTAATTATTTCATTGTATTTTTATCATTTCAGGCCTTGGATTGGTTGTCAAAGGATCTGGTCTTTTATTTTACTTTTTCCTATTATACTTTCTTTATCGTGACAAATCAGCTGATAACACTACTTATAATAATCATGGTAGTTTAGCCAATGAACCTAAACATTTACATGGTGAAGCTAACGGTCCAAAAGTACCAACTGTTGTTGTATCGTATGGTAGGCCATGACGATATTTGTATATACATTTGTAAAAATACCAATTTCTGAAGATTTTCTTTCCCCTTTTGTCTATCTCCACCTTCGTTCCAATTTTTAAAAATCTTATTCGAGAAATTCTCTTCACTCTCTTCCTTGATATTGTATAACTATTGTCCATCTTAAAATAAAATTCTACGTGTCTTTATGAATTTAATGAAGTATAAAGCATTATGAGGGTAATTGAGTAGGACAGGAATAGTCTATGAAAAACTTTGTCTTCACCTGCCATTTATTAAAACTTTTATTGCCATAATCCGATTCATTGATATATTTCATATGGCTAAACAGATTTTATCATAGAAATACAACACTATTTTTCTCTCTTTTTCATTTATAAAAAGCTTTCTTATTTTTGTTGTATCATACAGATCGGAAAAACAGTGTTTGTCGATTTTTCAATTCTTTTTTTTTCTTGTTACTTCTTTGTCTGTACTAGACCGTTATTCGATATATTTATACTAAAATATGTACTATAACTTGGGTATAAAAACAGCTAGTGTGTAATGTAAACAGATCTATAATTCAGTTTTTAAAAGTTATAAAGATCTTGACTAATCAATCAGCAGTAAAACCAGAATAACGATGATGATGACGTTGATAAGGAATTACGCTACCTGAATGTATGGGGGGAACTGGTTGGTTCACTTCTCATTTTTACTGGTGATCTTTTTCTTTCCTATTAATAACTGAACAATTGATCTTGTTTTAAAGTTTTCTTCTATTTACTGAAACATTTTTTCTTCTTTTTCTTGTGTATATTTATTATTATTATCATCATCAAATGAATGATAATTTTATTTTCTACCTTCCTATCAATTTTCATCATAATTGATGTCAAGAAATGTAATATGAAAACCTAAATATATATTTTTATTGAAATGATATATTCATTTTGTTATTTGTATTTATAAGATATTGAAAGGTTGTTTGAAGTAATCAAATTGTTGGTTTCATCCAAATATTGGGATTACAAATGATCAGGAATCGAATTTAAGACTGCATTTAAATCACTTATCTTTAATCAACATTCATTAGTGTATTTTAATATAATCAGTGTGGATTAACTATTCATAGTGTTTAAATTTGATTAGAGAAAATTTGCCAGTTAACAAACGTTATGTTTACTTTAAGTATTCAGTATTGTTGATCTTTTTGTTAAAACACTTACTCTGGGTTTGTTTAATTCAATCAATCAGTTAGATAAGTGATTATCTTGTTGTGAACATTTTGTATTCATATTATCACATTTTTGTTGTTAAGGCAATATATATGGATTAATTTTTATTCACTCAAAACTATACGCAACATTCAAAATAATATCATTAACTATATGTGGTTAATAAGTGGAGCTTTATCGTTTATTTTATCTGTACAGCCTATCAAAGTGTATTATAAGGGACGAGCCAATCAGAATCGAGAACACAATGTTTAGGTTTTTAATCAAAATTTAAGTATCACGTATAATGAACAGTAACAATACTTTTGTATGCTGCTCAAAACGATAACTAGGCATATCTGGATACCATTGAGAATTGAACATCCTTTTCGCTTTAGTACGATACTCAACACAATACAGTAAAAATTGCATTTTAAAATTCTTTATTGTCCAGCTTGTTTGAAAGGATAACAGGTCTCATGTCTGTTTTCTGCCAGGTCGTTTCTTTCATATACATATATATAATTAATAGTTTTGAGAATATCCACTGACTGCTTCCATAAATATCTTTTGATTAGATGTTTCTTTTTAATTCGACAGTTACCTGTCCTCAACTATATAAACAGTTAAACACAGGACTTTTAGATGTCTTGTCTAGTTGGATGCCTTCTAGATACCAAAGAAGTATGCAGTTGTTTATTTTTCTTGTTTTAAGCATTGGAAATAAAAACTCAGTTCGTCAGTGGTATTGAGGACAAGAGTTATTTTAGAAATTATAGCTTTGCCTATATATATATGGTCACAATACTCCAGTCATTATAGGTAAAAGTTTCTAATGCTTTCCGGTCCTATTTGCATTTACATCTTGATGATAAAATAACTAATCAGTATTAATGTAAACCGAAAGGATGTATATTTTGTGGGATTTATTGCAGTTTTAGTTTTGATTACCTAAAATTTCCTTTATCATCCCATCCATGAACCAGACAATAGATACATTGTGATAGTTAGCTCAATTAATTGAATGAGATTGACTAAAATTCATATTCATTTAGAAATGTAAAGATAAATTTAAATTGTTAGCTTATGCTTCATTAGATAATCAGTCGTTATTGATTTACGTTACAAACATTGAAACTTTACCGTTTATATTTAAAGTATCATATCGCACTGTAGTTTATGCTTATTGTTGAAGTAGTATTTAGTATCTAATTTTGTTTTGTTTATATTAGCCATACTGAAAGAATTTTACATTAGTGACAAACAGTATCTGTCAAAAGATAATTGTCTAAGGCAATGAGAAATATACTCGGTAACTATAATATAGGACTCTTGATTGTTGTTTTTGAGGGTATGTAAGAAAGAAGGCAATTATGATAAACCGTATATAACTATTATTAATTGTAAAGAGAAACTTATAAAACTAATAAATAACAATATACAAAAGAAAATTAGAATTTATTAAGTGGACTTAAATAATTTTAACAAACGAACTGAACACTAAAAGATTAAGGTCATATGTTGTTTTGTATATTAATATCCAATCAGTTAACTAAATAAAGAAAGTAGCGAAACAAAATATTGATAAAAATAAAGAGATAGGTGTAGATATTGTTTACCAAGTTTGTTTAACTCATTATAATAGTATAATAGGATTCTGTTTACAATTTTTACATTTTAAATGAACTAATTTGTTTGTGTATAACTTTGTGTGTCTTACACTTTGTAGGTTTCAAGGAAATTGGGTAGAATGTATAGACATCATTTATATCAATTTAGTTCAATGTACTCTTTTAATAGATTAATGTAAACACTTTTAGTGTTAAGGTTTGCATAAGTTAATTTTTTGATTTTCTAAACATATTTGTTTAGTTTCAGAATGGTTTTCCTCAGGAATTGATATTAAAGTTGTTATGCTCTTATGTCTGATTAATTATATCACGTGATACGATAGCCAATTAGTAACACCGAGTTATACGACCAGATTACTGATGCATATACCTGTATGAGCAGTCTAGAGTTCTCATTGTCCCACCGAGAACAATAGCCTATCCTAATGTTGGGAGGATCAGGAAAATTCCACGAAAAAAAGCCAAATAATGCTGTAAACTCTGATAAACATCTTATCTAATTAGCATTCAATAGAGTTTTTGCCAGAAACATTTAGAAAGTGAAAAGTCTCATGTCACTTTTCTGATTGGATGGTTATTCATACTGCCTCTATATTTAGTAGCGCTCCAGAAATTTCTGGGAATCCAATGCCATCTAAAATACTATAAATACCCTAGATTTTTTGTACATAAGCAAACCTTTGGAGTAAAGCGTTTCTTCTATATTTTGCGTCTTTTTTCTCGTGCTCAAGTTGCTGTGTAGATTTAGCCTGGGGGTTACTAGCTTAGGAAACTGAATCTAGAGTTCAATTAGAAGATTTATCACCTAACCCAGCCGGTTTAGTCCGTAACGCTAATATCAGCCTCCACTATACGATCCATATATTTCAGACATACTGGGTTTATAGACAAACAAACCAGACTGCATCATACCATAAATAGAAAATAACAATTATACAAGACCAAGCCGAAAATTGGCTATGGTTGTGAGAGACTGTTACTAATAAACTGAGAATATCTCAAGAATAGTAAATCGTATGTTAATAGTAAATGGGTCAAATGAAAGCTTATAATGAAAGGAATATGAATATACATATACTATAGTTACTTAATGGTCATACAATAAGAATATGCGTATAATATTAGTCCATAAATAATTTCTAACGGTTGCCATTCACTTATTCTCGTCCAGATATAACAATAGTGACTGAATAACAAGTAAAGCATCAGATAAATTATTTATCCTACCTCTAGAATCCTCATAATCGTGTAGCCTCATTTCTCACAGAAGACAAATCTCAAAACGTTCAAGTATCGTTGGGAGTACTCAATATTTTAAAATCCAGTAAATATATCCTGAATTCCACCGCTAGTCACCATTCTTTTATGCTTAAAAGATCCTTAAGTAATTCCGATATTGGTTATGTTTTTGCCTAATTACTTGTTGAAATGGTTAAAAAGCCCGGAATCTATAAATAATATTGACATCAAAGTATGTGATTGATAAATTTTGTGCTGTTTTTATTTTGCTTTAATAATAAATCATAACAAATAGAGATGTATCAAGAGTACAAATTGAAATGTGAATAATAAGAACAGAAAATGATTTAGAATAAAATCAGTTTAATTTGTTATGATTAAAAGTAAGGCAGGAAAAATAAGGAGCATTTTTTGTGTGAATATAATAATAGTTAGGATGATAAGCATGAATAGGGCATTGATGATATTGGAAATCATATTGAGAGCATTACAGTTAAACTGTTTAGTGTAGAGTAAGAAATATCATCAAAATAAAAACTACTATTACTAGTGAGAATCCCAGACATTTATTAACTTTTTATTACTTATATGTTTCTATGTTCTACATTATTTGAAAGCAATGAGAATAAATAGAATATCTTCATTCACTTGCATTGCTTGCAATCAAAACTCTACGATCAGTTTTATTTGTGTTTGCTTTCTCTAATCTAAAATTATCCATGTTCACAATAAATATGGGATGCCATTTTAAGCTAGTGTTAGATATTAAAATTTACAATCACGTGTTTATAGTAATCGTTTTTTGCACGTTGTCATGGTATATAAATTTTACAAACTTAATGGAAAAAGTAACAAATTTGATTATATGGTTATTAATTTGTTAGTCTCTCTATTACTAATTAAATAATAGTTGTGTATAAAAGCTGAATAACTTACTATTTACTAACAACACCTATCTGTTTTAACATTAAGATATCTCTATAACAGAAGTAAGGTGTTAAAGATTAGAATGGTGTTTATTTGACGTACTATGGATATGTCCATTTAATCGTGAGAATTTCATCACAAAACTTGTTGGTTTCATCAGTATTCGTTTCTTAGATATTATTTGTAATTTAAGAGAAAAGGAACCACTTATGCTTCTCTTAATTTTGAATTAGTCAATAACATAGAAGTTCTCACAATAAGATACTAATAACTTAAAAATGGTACAATGTGCAGTTTCATATACTAAAATAAAGCCAATTTTTTATGACCTGTCATTGAATTGTAGTATGATTCCATTAAGAACTGACAGAAAAGTTGAAATGTTACCAGTATACAGCTGATTGTAATCAATTAATTACTTTATAAAAAGGTGAATTTCTTACCGATATCCCTTTTACTTTACTTTATAAGTTATCTTCAATATGTAATAACAGACACATGGAAAGTTTTGAAAGGAAGTTATTTGTTGGCTTTTGTTAATTTTCTTCAAAAAACCTTGTGTCTGTTTATAGTATCTACAAATCAGTTGTTTCTTATTTTAATTTATTAAACAAATTCCATAAACTAAAGTTGTACCAATATAAAAGTTTTACAGAATGAATATGTCACATATCGAATAGTTCAATGAGTATATTTCAATAATGAAACTCAATCTGTCGTTTACAAATTGTGGAATCAAACTGTATTTTAACTCAACAATCGAGCAAAATCATTGAAATTTATCAGTACTTTGATCATTCACTTACTTTTGTTGTAATTAATCATTATTTCTATTGGAAGTTCTACATTTTTAGCACCATCATCTAACATGGTTATAAAATTTATGTGTATTTTTGAAACGATGACAGTTTTCTCGCTTGTTTTTTTCTTC